TTACGTCATTGAGTTCAAGTAGAAACTTTTATGGAGCAAAAATAGCTGGCATTATGAAACAATGAATGTTATTAAGAGAACACTGTTTCTTCTGCCTCTTCAATTTTTTTAAGCTCTTTCTTTTTTTCTATTTTTTCTATTTCATTACAAAGTAGTCATTGTTTGCGTAACTCACAAAACAGGTTTTTATTTATGGACTGTGACTGAGGAAGAAAGGTTTAATTTGGGGAATCCATTTTTTTTTCTCAAGAAAAGCTTATTATTTTTCCAGTGCTTCAGCATTATTTTTTTTCTGAAATATCAAAAATCATGCGAAAGAAGGGACGTACTTTCCTTTGAGATGGGAAGCTCTGTATGCTCGAAACAATGACAGCTCCCTTTGTTATTCCTTTTTTATTTTTCCAAAGCATACAGTTGTTCCATCTTCAAAGTGTTTTTGTTGTTATTAGCAGCACAGAAGAAAAATTGAATTGATAGGAGTGTAAACTGATATCAGCATGAATATTTTTCCCATTATTTTTATTCAAGAAAAGGTGCAGTAGAGCCTGTAAAAAGAAAAAAAATGTGATATCTCATATCCATATTTCTTGGAAAAGATATTTATAATGGGCCATGATGCCTGCAGGTAAACGGAAGCAAAATAATCTAAGATGAAAAAATACTTACTTTTAATAATAAGCCTCTGTGATGTTATGATATTAGCTTACATTATAACAGCAGCAGTTATAGGATACATGTAATTGTGTCATCCATATCGGAGAGTGTGGGCTATAAAAGACCCAATTCATTGTTGTTGTTTTTTTAAATCTTTTGTGGGGGTTGGATGAAGGGCACTTTGACCCTGTTCTCACTCACTTTGAAAGTGGTCTTAGTTAGACCGCTCCAGACCGCTCCAGAGGAACGGGTCTGAGGAACGGTTTGCGAGCGTTCACACTCCGAGCAGTTTTTATGGCTCAAACCGCTCCACGAGTCAAAGTGGTCTTGTTGCTATGGCAGCTCAGGTAGGTGGGTCAATTTTTTCGCGCGCGGAATCCAAACCCTATGTCACCTGATGTCCCGTTCGCGACGCGTCCCGTATACATGTATATATGTAGTGCCTGCCCGATCGCTCATCGCGCGGAACGTCACTTCCGTTCAAAGTAAGCTTTCCGTTCACATTGCACGTTAGAGCGCTCTGGAGCGCTCTTAATAAGACCCGCTCCTCACGACCACCTCGGAAGGTGGACTTCTGGAGCGGTCCAGAAGTCCGCTTCCTGGACCACTTTGAGCGTTCTCACTCACCTAAGTCTTAGTTAGAGCGCTCCAGAGCGCTCCAACGAAGTGAGTGAGAACGGGGTCTTTGATGATCAGAATTTCTGACATGAACAGATTGTTTCCTATTTAATTATTGTACCCTTTTACAGAATGAAATATCAAATACCACTCATGAAGATTTTTGGCAAGTAAGTGGGTGATATGAACAACTTCTTTCAGCCAATTGGAGTAGATTAAAAGTTAGTAGCCAATGTTGAATAATTAGATATTTATGGGATTATTCATTAATTACAAAACAAGCAATATCACATTTCAATATGTGCCTGATCATTTTACAATTTTGACAGTTCTAGGTGAAGGGTTTTCTTCTTTGCATCACCTAAAAGAAAATGTTGGGTTCTCCTACACGTATTCATGATTAGCAAATTAAAAACATGTACCGGGGTAATATATATTGAGAAATTTAACTTGTTATAAATGGTTATTATATTTTCTAGTCTGTACGCTCATTTGGTTTTGTGATGATTCCTTATACAATGTTTGTTTAGACAATTTTCTTATGAATTTCCTATAGTCTAAACATGCTGTGATTCTTGGCCTCTGCGGATAAGGTAATCGTTATTCCGTCTGTTGTCGGCCTGGTGTCGGTCTCAGTGATATCAGGGTTGAAAGTAGTATTAAAGATATTTAACTTGTTATAAATGGCGATTATATTTTCTAGTCTGTACGCTCATTTGGTTTTGTGATGATTCCTCATACAATGTTTCTTTAGACAATTTTCTTATGAATTTCCTATAGTCTAAACATGCTGTGATTCTTGGCCTCTGCGGATAAGGTAATCGTTATTCCATCTGTTGTCGGCCTGGTGTCGGTCTCAGTGATATCAGGGTTGAAAGTAGTATTAAAGATGTCACGCCAGACTCGTTTGTTGAGGATACGAAGACATCATTATGTAGGTCCTGAATGGTTGTGACATTGAGGCCACAGTCAGAGCCTGTGTCGGGGTATTAGGCCAAGCATCTTCCTTAAGAGGGGAGGCTTAGGGTAACTGGAACGACAGATCCTTTCCAACCAACTCTGACATCATCAAAGTTGAAGAAGAGGCAAAGATGGAGGGAGGAGGAGGATGGATGAAGTGAAGGGGGAAAAGGGCAGTTTGAGAAGGGGAAAAATTGAAGAAAAGTTTGAAAAAGAATGATACAAGAATTTGCAAAAAGTCATAAAAATTATTCTACCAGAAATTTCCCAAATTTTGTTGAATTGTAATGGATCACTGTTTAATTTATTTTAAAAAAATAGATCTATCTTTTCTCTCCCAAGGGAATTGGAAATTGTGATTTTCAACATTTCCTCCTCATTTTTATCAGATGATGAACTCAAACATCGACTGTTCTATTCTATTAAACAAAATCAATTCTATGAGCATCTAAACTTATTTTGTCTTTCTCATTTTCATCATCTTCTTGAATGTCTTCTTTTCCTTTTTCTTTTTCTTCTTCTTCTCTTTCTCTTTTTCTTTCTCCTTCTCTTTTTCTTTCTCATTCTCCTCCTTCTCCTCATTCTCATTCTCCTTCTCTTTCTCATCCTCATCCACCTTGTCCTTCTTCTCCTTCTCCTCCTCTTCCTCATTCTCCTTCTCTTTCTCATCCACCTTGTCCTTCTTCTCCTTCTCCTCCTCCTCCTCCTCATTCTCCTTCTCTTTCTCCTTTTCTTTCTCCTCCTCCTCCTTCTCTTTCTCCTTCTCTTTCTCCTTCTCTTTCTCCTTCTCTTTCTCTTTCTCTTTCTCTTTCTCTTTCTCCACTTTCTCCTCTTTCTCCTTCTCTTTCTCCTTCTCTTTCTCCTTCTCTTTCTCCTTCTCTTTCTCCCTCTCCTCTTTAACCTGAATTGTGTGTGAACTTTAAAGAGCTACATGTTAAAGTAAGGTAGATCACTCTCCAACTTGGTAGCCAGTCCTCATTATTTGTATCTTTATCCTATTTCCAAACGCCTCTACATTTAGCTGAAAAGTTGATCCTGGATATAGGCGGCAAATCTTCCAATTAGCGCAGCCTAAACATATCTAGGTGATTCTCTTTGAAATGGGCAGAACAACGGGATCGCAAGATTTGATTGAAGTTTTTGCAAGATCTGCTTTCTTGTTTAGGGAAAGCATGTGAATCACCAATTAGCATTTGCCGATATCCTGTCGGATTGGCTTAATTGCAGGTGAGGAATTCAGTCGGCTTGCTTCATTCTTACCTGTGCAACCATAGTCTATATCTCAGACTCGAACTGTGATACTCGTGCTTCACAGAGTCTCAAGGAAATATCATAATTCATGAGGATGGCATCCCAATCCAGCAGCTCATCTATCATCTATAAGTTCATCTTTACATTAATTAAACCAAAATCGTTCTCTTTAGTGATTTATATTATAGTTGTGCCACTTAAACCCAAATTTCTGCCAAAGACGTGTGAAAATGAAGTAGCACAAGTTTGATGCAGAAGCTGAGAAATGAAGATGGTGCACAAGTTGTTTATGAATGTTCTTAAGCATGAGTGGAAGAGAACGGGAAAGAAGACGATTGAGATATTAAAGTAAAAAAATCATTTTCTACTAGCTTTGTAGTTCTTTGAAGTGATGAATAGCTTATAGTTTCCCGCCAGTAGAGTCATTGTCAGTTACAATGATTGCGAAACACTACAATGAGAAAAGGGGGCTAGCATACGTACGTGTGATTTTCTGTGTTTGATGCGTAGACTACTCGCATCATCAGACATGTGGGCGAAGGATGTGTAACCCATGACCCTGGCACAGATCTTGGCGTTATGGTTAGGATTAGATATAAGGGAGCGAGAGAGGATCGAGGGAGAAAGGGAGCATGTGATCTAGGAATTGGGACCATGCAGCAAGAAGGGAACCCGCTCAAAGACATCACAGAGATACTCTCCCTTTGCCGTTTTTTAAATCATAACGTAAATCAATTTTCAGTCTGAAGTGGGATATGCTATTGTACAGTGTATATAACTGGCTGTCCACAAGGAGGCCGATGTAAGAGCGATGTAAGAGCGATGTAAGAGAAGGTACGTGTACATGTACAGAGCTTGTCATCAAAGAATTGGAACCAGGAAGAGGACCACTGTATCTTGAAAGTTAACTGGCTCAAAGCATGGAGTACGTCCATGCTCAAAGACATCACCAAAGGCCTGTCCTCATCAGCTCCAGTTTGCCAAACAACACAGACTAAGGATATTATCCCGAGGCTCGAAATTGCGTCTTTAACAGACCGATAACAAACTAGTTCGATGTTAATCGTAGAAAATCCGAATTCCTTTTTTTGAATTTCGTTCCTGTAACAATTGTCATCACTATACTCCAGTTTTTGTGCCACTTGGCTGAATGCCATTGATATATATTGCATAGTAAGGCCTGAGGGAAATACATTACGGTTCTATTTTTGTTTGTGATTTATTGATTTAACAAAATTAGATTATGTGAATGTGGTATGAATTATTTCCATGTCCAGAAACCATGTTTTATTTGTTATTTCCGAATAGATGTCACATAGGCAATGCACGGGTAGGAAGATGAAAAGAAGTTGGGAATAAGGAGAAAGATTTAAAAGAAAATTGATTGCCAATTGGCCAAGTTTACAGAAAAATGGCATGATTTTGGATCAAAATGGAGGGAATAGGACAGCGAATTTCACTTGAAGGAGACCAAGTTGAAGGAATGAGAGATAGAGTGTATAAGGCTGATCAAAAGGTCATGACTGCGACCTAGTTTTGGTGAAGTGCGAAGTGCATGACATGTGCGTCGTTGATCGTTTGTGATTCGTCCCCCAAACATTCAAATCCAGGCAGACTGGATGGAAGGGGAAGGATGGATGGGTGAGGAAGGGCTGGAAGGGAGTTGGGGTATAGGGTTGCGGTGGTCTGGTCTTCGGGTGGGGTTGGGGTAGGATGGTGCTGGGATTAGGGTATGTCGGTGGGATGGTGTTGTGGTGGTGTTGTGGTTGGTTGTGTTGGTGTTTCTGGTGTGGTTGTGGTAGTGTTAGGGATGCATATATGGGGTTGTAGTAGATTGGGGAAAGGGATGGAGTTAGGGATAGGGTTTCAATGGTCTGGTCTTCGGGTGGGGTTGGGGTAGGGTGGGGTTGGGGTAGGATGGTGCTGGGATTAGGTATATCGTAGGATGGTGTTGTGGTTGGTTGTGTTGGTGTTTCTGGTGTAGTTGTGGTAGCGTTGGGGATGCATATGGAGTTGTGGTAGTGTAGGGAAAGGGTGTAGTTGTGTTTGGGGTGGGGTTGAGCTGGAATGGAGTTGGAGTGGGGTTATGGTGAAGTTGGGGTGAGTTGTTGTCAAGTTGAGTAGGGTTGTGGCAGTGATGGGTTAAAGATGGAGTAGTATTTGTGGTGGGTTTGGGCTGGAATGGTGTTGGGGTGGGGTTATGGTGGTGCTAAGCATAGGGTTGCCATGATGGTGAGTTGGGTTGGGGTATGGTTGTGGTGGTGTTACGATTGGGGATGGGGTTAGGGTTGTGTTGTGGTGGTGTTAAGAGTGGGGATGGGGTTAGGGTAGTGTTGCGGTGGTGTTTGGGGTGAGGATGGTGTTAGGGTAGGGCTGTGATGGTGTTCGGGGTGAGGATGGTGTTAGGGATAGTGTTGTGGATATGTAACTGTGTGCCTAAGTATGTATTGTTCTTCATAACTTGTCTATTTTGTACCGCTAAAAGCAATTCTGCCCTACATCGTTATAGGCACACATTTTTGAATGGAGATCAAATGGTTAGTTAGATGAAGGTGGTGTCACAAAAGTCAAGGTATATTTAGAAAATAAAAAGTTTTTAAACTATCATGTTGAATCTACTACATCACATCAATTTTTCAATCAATTTTTCATCATTTTATTATATTGTAAAAGTTAGTTATGACCAGATGGTTAGTCCAAATTTAGGATATGTTATTGTTCAAGATCAAAGCTCATATTTTCGTGACATAAATCTAGTTTTTCTCCGGATCTTACAAAGTGACGTGCTTGATGGACCTCCTCTGCCAAAAATGCAAATAATTTTGGATATATATTGCTGAAATTGCTATGGAATTTGGCAATGTAAGTTCAAACTAAATAGGCCTATAACACAAATATCTTTTTGCAAGAGGACTTTTATTCAAACTTTGAGGGTTTCTTCCCTAGGATATTAAACTTCCTCGGGTTCACCTGCTCTTGGTTATTTTTAAGCAGATACGGTAAAGTTTGAGGTAAAGTTTGATTCTCCGGGAATAAAAAGGTCATTTGCCCAGACCAACCAAACGTTTCTCCCCGTCTCTTTTGGTGTTGCATATTAGGGTCATTAACCTCCAGAGCGGAAAATGGCCTTTCCAAAGAAAGTGCAGGCATGTTGACCTTGTACCAATGAACATTTTTACGCAGAGATGAAGATTTTTTGTTGACGTTGAAAGGTTTTCATCATATGACATCAGGCTGCTCCTTCACGCCTGATGTCTGCGTGGGTTGGTGCCCATGTTTTTTCAAGAAGATGATTACTCGGGCTATGTTCTTCCTGAAAATCATGTGGTCAGTCTAGTATTAAATGTTCCCCCTTTCCCCGGTGGCATATCGATCATCGATTCCATGCAAAGGTGAAGACTAATTGTGTGGTTGATGTGGCCGGTCGCAGTGTATGCAGTTGCGATTACTAGCAATCAGTCAAAATTTGATTTTAATTGTTTGTTGGTTTAGGCAATCTCCCTTTGGGCGTAGGTGGCAAGCTGGCCTTTCACTTGCAGAGCCATATTGGGAGACCTTGTGGTTTTAATGTTTGAAAGTCAAGGGTAGGAGGGGACAGTGTTGATGCCTGGGTTGGTGGTAGATAGTTCTAGAAGGTCATTGTCGGATGTGAACAACCTTGTTGACACTGATTGAATGCCTCTCAATACACACATCACAATCAGAAGCCGGGGATTGGTAGACAGCTAGGAGTATTTGTACAAAGTGTAATAACTGTATCTAACGTAAAAATATCAAGACATCAGTTATATAGTCAAGGTTTCTTAGTAATAGTGATTATTATATTTGCATATATAGCGCCTAACACTTACTTTATCAGAAGTCTCTAAGCGCTCTACAATAATGCAACATTATTACCCTGGCTTTAGCAGAGCAGCTGTCACACGCTCTGCGCTTAAAGGAATAAATTCCTACCAGGTCCCCATTTACTTCACCTGGGTGGAGTGTGGCAAATGTAGATCAATGTCTTGCCAAAGGACATTAATAGTGCCACCGCGGGTCTCGAACCGCGGACCTTGTGATCGACAGTCCGGTGTAGATTCACTCGACCTTGACACCTCTGGTAATGTCATGTAGTAATTATTTATAATATTATCATGTATAGAATACTGAACCAAACAAAAGGAAATATATGTCCCTCTTCTCTTCCTATAATTTTTTTTTGGAAACAGAAAGGGGATACAATGATAAACTATGATGCCCTTCTTGCTCCAAGTAAACAAAATCGTAAAAGCTATCTTGTTCTCTGTACCGCCCCTCTCATTCTCATGATGCTTTCCAAGGCAGCACCCCTATGCCCCCCCCCCCCTTCTTCCCCCTCCCTTGTCACTCCTCATACCTCTAGCAGTACAATATTCCCATCAGTCACTATTTCCTCTTCATTCTTTCCTATCCTCGGTCTTGTTGTTCCATTCAATTAACCCAGAAAACATCGTTGAAATTGGATCGCTGGCGTACACCCTGTAATTCTTTCCTACCCAAACTGGACCAGTCGCACACCCTAGCCCATTTCTGGTCCCCGGCCCTCAGTCATCACGATCTAGTTTATCGCTGCTTCTTTCTCAGTCAGACAATATCCATGGGTTGAAGGAGGAGGTGGGGAAAGCTAAGGAGATCTCGGACTTAATATTAAGCAGAGAGAAATAGAGCGAGAGAGAGTGAGTGAGAGAGAGAGAGAGAGAGAGAGAGAGAGAGAGAAAGAGAAGGAGAGGGAAAGGGAGAGAGAGAGAGAGAGATGACAAATGTGAGATAGAAATAGAAAGAGAGAAAGAGGGAAAGAGACATGGGGGAGGGGGGCGATGAAGCACATTGTGTGAGAGAAAAATAGAGAGAGAGATGGGGGCAGACAGACAGAGACAGATAGATATATAGATACAGGTAGATAAAGTGAAAGAGAGAGAGAGAGAGAGAAAGAGAGAATAGAAACTTATAGGGAGGGGAGAGAGAAAGACAGACTGGAGGAAAGAAGGAGCCATTGAGGCTAAAGGAATGATGAGAGCAGAGAGCTAATGAAAGAGAAGATGTGGAAAGTGGAGTTAACAATAAACATTTGGAGGTGATGATCGTGGAAAGAAAAGAGAAATAAGGGGAGAAAAATTCACTTTCCGATATTTGTATCTGCTGGCTGTGAATGGATATTAAGAATGAAATTATCGCAGAAAACAGGTGATATTATTTATAGAATGAGAACTCAAGCTCGGTGTTATGGAATTGACAGCAAGTAAAGAAAAAGTTGAAGTAGATTGAAGTATTCTGTTAGTATTGAAGATGACAACACTGAAATGCTACTCTATCAACTAACAAAGAACACAACATTTGTTGAGGAATGCCCCCTTACCTAGTTCTTCAGAAAGAGGAAATACCCAAAGAAGTTTTGAAAGTATGCATTCACTCAACAACACATTGCAACAATAGGAAAAAGACATTGGAAATGGGCTGGGGCGGGGAGGCAATGGATTTGAAAAGCAATTCTAGGGAGACACATTCAGTTAGAAGAAAATAACAAACAGAGTTCAAGAAAGAGGCACTGGAAGAGAGAGCGAGAGAGGGAAAAAGAGAGAAGGGGGGTACAAAAGTTGGTAAGGGGGAGGGAAGAGAAGGTCATTACACTTCTTTTCCTTTCCTTCCAAATGATGACAGCCCAGGTTTGGAGGGAAGACGGGGAAGTCAAACTCAATTTACCCTTGGTCTTGTTGAAGTCGCATGCTGCGGTGGCGAAGCTTGGCTTCTCCAGCAGACCTCTGTTAGAATCATCCAGCTCTTCCAGGGGGGTGTTTCACAAAGATCCCAAGTCGAACTTAATTCTAAGTTGGACTTAAACATTATGGAGAGCAATTTGTAGCCTCAAAAGCAAGAATTGAAGTATTTTAGACTTTTCATAAATTCCACATCAAGGACATGAAATCTCCTTGATAATAGAAAATATGCAAGATTTGAATCAACATTTTATGCCTTTTAAAATAACTTTTACAAAATATTTTCAAAGATGCTAATGGCTTTCCATAACTGTTAAGTCCAACTTAGAGTTAAGTTCGACTTTAATAGGATCTTTGTGAAACACCCCCCCCCCCCTGGTTTATTCTATTAATCAGTGTGTGGAAGGTACAGGCTGGAGTGCTTGTAGTTGGACATCAAAACCTCCCATTGTTCTATCCAAATATTAAATATTCCAGTGAATATTAACTAAAATTGTATGACATTTAGATATGAAATGCAAGAAATAGCTGTGAAACTTCATTAAAATCTTGGCTCTTATAAATGCTCCTGCCTGTTGGTGAACTGATTTTGGATTTTCATTTGTCCATACAGTGTTTAATAATATGGTCAGTTGTCAATAATGTCAACTAAATTCATATGTACCGTATTGCATTGATGAAAATGTTGCCATTTAATATCTTAACACTTGAGCCGGCCATTTTGTTTAAAGAGGATATAAAATTGAAAGCAGTTTTATTGAAGTTTGTTCATAAGACCTTTCTTTTAATAGGTGTTTAAACATATCAAAGAAATATCTTATGTAGAACATCATATTAAACTATATGAAGTATTATAATTTAAATTTACAGTCTCTATCAATGATTATTAGTCATTGAGGAAATAGTATGAAGATAATCCTTATGAACGAACTTGGATTTAAAAAAACAACATAATTTTAAAAACCATGAAATGACATTGATTGACAGACACCTTTTGTTTCTTTCTGTGAATAACAACTTGAAAGGTTCATCTCGCTCCATATTTCATATGTATTTTTGATACTTTCTTGTTCACGTGCAAGTCATGAGGGAGAGTAAAAGTGTTTGTGACAGTGAAGAAAAACAACAGTGTAGTTTATGGACGCGATGAGACCTCGTCACAAAGATATAAGTGACCCGTGTTTCACCAACAAGTTTTCAGACCCATGTATAAAATATGGCTATTTGTGAAGCAGTCTATGCACCTTTTGTAAAGAAAAAAGATAATAATAGTATTGATTTAAAAAAAATGTCAAATGAAAGGAAGGATTGGGATGTTTATAGAAGCATAAAAAATTGAAATACTGACAAATCTGGGTCAAAATTGTATGTCTTGTACCATCTCCAGTTTAAAGATATTTCAAATTCCTTGCTTCATTCATATATATACAGTACATATAAACAATTGCCTCTTGAAAATATAGTGGCCATGATTTAAGGCTCCATATCTCAGGATATTTTGCAGCAGAAATTGACCCCTTTTCACAAAGATTGCAGATGTCTGAAACTGATAAATCTATTGAATCGGCCCAAATCTCTCTTCTTTAGAATAACAATTACGTTTATTTTTAGGTCAGCATTTGTCCAATCCATTATACCCGTGACAACAATAACAACAACAACAAGTAGAACAAGATGACCATAAGATATCGATGTCCATTCACCAAATGTCGCTTGCGGCAAAGTTCCATTTTTGTGATGAAATCAGTGGGCTTCAAATCCCACGCCGGGCAAGCCGTTGACCGACATCCAGATATCCTGGTTTTTAGTGAAAGTGTTCTGCTAATTGGGTATTTTCCCCTAGAGGATATGGCCTGTCACAATGTTGGTCAGGGATTTCTTAAGAAGGTGTCCCCCTGTAGTATAGATAGTGATGAAGATCTCAGTGGTCAGGATGCTTGTCAATCAACTTAATACCTTCAAATACACTATCTTTGATATGCCTCTTTCATATTCGCTGCGAAAGGAAGGGTCGAGTCTGGACTAGGCAGGGAGTGATAGCCATCCGTTCAATCTGCACCTCAAAATAAAATAGTGATTCCTACTAAATATCTTCAAAGACACTACCTTTTTATATGCCTCTTTCATATTCGCTGCAGAAGAGGGTCAAGTCTGGACTCTGAAGGGAGCGATAGCCATCCCTTCAGTCCGCTTCTCAAAATAAAAGAGTGATACCTACTTAATATCTTCAAAGACACTATAACTTCTAATATGCCTCTTTCATATTCACTGCAGAAAGAAGGGTCGAGTCTGGACACCGAAAGGAGCGATAGCCATCCATTTAATTCGCTCCTCAAGATAAAAGAGTGATACCTACTTAATATCTTTAGAGACACTGCTTTTAATATGCCTCTTTCATATTCACTGCAGAAGAGGGTCGAGGCTGGATTAGGCAGGGAGTGATAGCCTTCCATTCAATCCGCTCCTCAAAATAATACTACCTTTCATACCTACAGCAGCTACATGTAGCTAGAGCATGTGACATCTGTCAGGTGCAATTTGTTTTATGGTTATGTTCAAAGTAATACCGAATACTTGCTGATATTTTTTCCTGCCACCCCATCCTAAAACATTCAGTGCATCCGATTCCCTAAGTCCAGACTCGGCCTTCCTTCAACCATCACCACTGCCAATTGTAACTAACAATACAGTTTATTAAGGCAACTATTCATAGAAAATTCAATTTGATATAGGATTCAGAGTAGATATGAAGAATCTTTCAAAACTGACAGTAGTAACTACTGAGTAGTTGTAGCAGAAAAGATAGTAAG